GCAGGGCCCCACACACTGCTGTGGGAAAGCTCTTCCTATACAGCAGTTCCACTGATTTAGGAGCTGATGCTCGACACGCAGACGCAGACTTGTCCACTCAAAGACTCCTCTCTTCTGCGTCAGTTAAGGACTGGTAATTGCATTAATGCAGTTTCGACTTCTGAACCTCGCAGAAAGTGTAGTTTTAGTGAAAGTAATTATTTGTTATTTGATAAAAAGGCAGTGAAATAACTCGCCAGACGTTTTAACTCATCGATGTTCTCTGGTTTTGTCAATTCCTTAACCGGTGAAGCCGTCATTTTTCCAGCCTGCTGTAATTTTCCTCCTTCACCGGTGAGAATCGCAGCAGGTACGGAGAATCCTTCAGCACATTCCGACTGTGAACACAGAGACATACACACGAATTTACATCTGCAGATTATAAAATATCTACCGTATTTTCCGGACTCTAAGTCGTTCCGGAATATCAGTCGCACTAGCCAGCTAGAGTGCCCTCTAGTGGCTGTCAGTGTGAAAATAACGAACATGTAAATTTTCAGCGATCCAGGAGTAGCAGATACTGGTACACAAGCCTAGAGTGCCCTCTAGCGGCTGGCGGGGTGAAAAAAACAACCGTGGAATTATATATTTTACATATGATGACGATACAGGGTGACGTTCTGCCTGCTGGGCATTGCTGCCTGACGCACCTCCATCAGGGCCTTTGTGCAAGCGTGCTCTAATGAACACCTCCTCGAGTGTCACTAGTGGCGCCAACTTACCTCAAGGGTGATTTTTTTTTTTTTTTTTTTTTTTTGGCATGATCAAGGGGTGGGGTTTAGGGCTGGGGCCGGGGAATTGTTGGGGTCATTCTTATACTTACCTTCAGGGTGAAGGCATGCTGTGGAATGGGGTGTTTTATCGAGCTATGGCTATTTTTGCGATTAGCTGAATGTTTCAAAGGATGAAAAAAAGTGTGACTTATAGTCCGGAAAATACGGTATATGCATTTAATCAGCACCCCAACATATAATGTATATGTAAAGTATGTTCCAGTTATATGAGTAAACTTTTTTAAAGTACATCACTTTAGATCACTTAAGCCTGTTCATTTGAATAGTGGACGTGTTATGTCAAAAATACTTGATTTTTTAGACCAATTAGGCTTCATTACCTGCAGATTCTCAGACAACGCACAGTAAAACTCTTTCAATAACAGGGCAGGAGTCACATCAGGCCCTTTGAATCCTGCTCCTGCTCTTGCTGCTGCTGCTATGGTCTCCTCGGACGGTTCAAGAAGATCCTCCACCTCCTGCCATCACACAGAAACAGCAGCGAAGGAAGAAATGACAGTTTGTATGGGATTTCATTAGTGCAAATCATTAAAAATCAGCTTATTTTTCACTTGAAAAAATAGTTAATGAAATAAAGAAACTTGATCAATTCCCTGCCCAGGTCTGAGGTTCTGCAGAGTTTCCGTCGGGGGGGGGATTACTTGTATTCTCCGTTCAGTCAACAGCAGATATAAACAGAGTGATCATGCTGATCCTGGATCAGATGAGTCAGCTGCTGGTGACGAACTGGGTTTTCCACAACGGTGGATGTGCTTCGGAATATGGTCCGTGCGTCCACACCACAAGCTCCGTGTCACGAGAGAAAGGAGAATTGTGGCGCAAGTTACGTGAAGCGGGCGAAGGCATGCCCTGAGGGGAGAGAGATGTGGTTGGATGGGGGACCTAAATATACATGTTGCCGACAGGAACAGATGTGATAAGGAGGTGCTGGGTAGATATGATGTCAAGGAGGTGAGAGGACAGAAACGACGTGTGTTAATAATATGCATTGTTAAAAGAGGGAGTGACATATAAAGTTGATTACATCATGTAAAACAAGTAAGATCTGACGTACCGTCCCTAAAGAGGTAGGATCTACCAATTCCTTCAATTCCTGATGATAATATTTAAAAAAAAAAACCCATCTCAAGATGGTATCCTTCCACTGTTCATCAAACGTTCTCTGATCAGATCATTGATTGGTCTCTTCTTCTTTCAGCTGTTCCCTTCAGGGTAAGCCACAGCAGATCGTATGCCTCCATCTTACCCTATCCCATTTCCACTTCTTTTGTCAACACTGCATGTTCTCCACAATAACATCTCTTCTAAAAGCGTTTTATTCCATTTCCACTTCTTTTGACAACACTCTGCGTGTTCTCTACAATAACATCTCTTCTAAAAGCGTTTTCTTCCCCTCTTGCCCGGCAACAACATAATTTGTCCAATTTATTCACTATGTCTCCTTAACACATGGCTAAACCATCTAAATCCTGCATCTCCAACCTGGACTTTACCACGCAGGCCAGGCCACAACCAGCTTCACTGACGCCTGAAATCCAGAGTGAGTGTCAGAAGGAGTTATCTGAGCAAAAAAAATTCATTGGCTGCGGGACACTGATATGACAGTGCAGGGGTAGCCTGTGGAGATGCTGCAGAGGAGTGCAGGGCCGCTTTTCTGCACCACAAGCTTGAGGCCCATATCTGCAGACCTAAGGGCGAGGGTGTCGGAACCAGCGGGATCGTAAGTAGCGCGGCTTGAAAATCTATTCCGAAGTGCATATTGACACTTAAGCACTCACTAGAGACCATCAGCAACAGGGTTGGACTTTCAAGCCGCATGATGTATGTCGTGAATTCGAAAATGGCCACTAGGTGGTGCTGCTGGCGAACAGACCACAGTTCTGTCACCTTGGACGCAGCAAAAGTCAGTGGCTTATGAGCCAAAGAGCGATCCTCCAGTAGGAAGCAAAAATGGCCAGTTGCAAGGTGCATTGATAGCAACTTCCGGTGTACTTTCATTCGCCATCTTGCATACCCCTAAGTGTCCGTCACATCATTAAAAACAACAGAAAATAAGGTCACGCAAAACTACTGAATAAATCAATCTGTTTTACCGTTAAGATTATTTGCTGGGATTATTTTATAAATATAAATAAATAAATCTCTTCTTTACCCTGGGTCATTCTATTATCAATTTACCACTCAGCTTCTCACCGTTCTGTGCTGTTCCTCCATGTTGGCGAGTTGCTCCTCATATATGTTCGCCTGCTCTCTCAACGCCAAACACTCGGCTGTCACCGTATCAACTTCCTGTCAACGAAAATGACAGAAAAATTCGTAAAAGAAATCACTGCAGGGTAAAATGAAAAGTAGACAGGAAGATGGTGAAAAGGGGTGGGTGGGTAATGAGATTAAAATGTCGACATAAATACCCAGATTACACCAGATTACCTGGTTAAACATCCAGATTATTTTTGATCTGCTTAATCAAGAGTCAACACCCTCACTGTAACTCAGTGTTTAGGAGGACATTAAGTTCTGCTGACAATATTTAAAGAACAAAGGCAGGTTTGTACACATTAATGATCTGGTTTGAACACAGTTCTTTATACAGGTATGACACCAAAAAAAAAAAAACTGTACCACCAGAAAATCAGACTTGACCCAGATAAAATTAGGCCCTTCTGATTTTTTTTTTTTTTATTGTAATTTCAAATGAAACATTTTTGTTAATGTTGCTAGGTGAAGTTTTCCAGCAAACTGTCACATGATTTCACTCAAGGCTGAGTGGAGAAGAACAACCAGGAGTTTGACAACACTGCCCACTTGTGTTGAAAAATGATTCAACTATCGTTCTGAATTTTCCTTGTTCACAAAAGTCCGTATTCTTCCGGTTTACTTATCTTAAAGTTCTGTCATAGCAGGAAAATATTCTGGTTGTTCACAAAAGTCCGTATTCTTGCGGTTTACTTATCTTAAAGTTCTGTCATCTGGAATTTAGGAAAAATAAATTGTTTCTGTTCAAATTTATTTTATTTTTTTAATGTAACATTTAAAATACATTTAAACGGTCTTTAAACGGTGTGTTGACAGATATTAGACTGAATAGTTTAAGCACCTATACAACATTCATTATGGCAAATAGTTTGTAAACAGGCCAAATAAACAATAGCATTGGCATTTTCGTGAACCAACTTGAAGTTAATTAGATTAACCTGAACACCCACTAATTACCGCGAAGCCTACTTATGGCGAATCAGCTTATAGCCCTTACTTGGCGTATTCCTCCTTTAATTACTGTCAATTCCATCAGCAGAGCTCGTTTTGTGTTTGTTTGCACAAAGGGGGAAAAAAAAGTCTACAGACGTGGTTACGTTTAAGAAACAAAACTAACCTCCTACACTGCAGCTCTAGCGTCCTACCTCGGAATTAGACACCATGATGATGACACTGTAAAGGCGCCGTGCTGTTACTGTGTACGCCGTTAAAACGCGTTACCATGGCGTTCGACGTGCGCTACCGAAAACTCCTCACAATAGAAACTAAAACACAAAAAAAGAATTAGTATTTTCTAAAATATACCAGCAGTTCTCGAAGTAAATGATAATATCGTTAGGGTTTTTATGCATCTTGTGTGTACTTCCGGTGCTTTTATTTTGGTAATAACGAACGGAAAAGTGATTGGGCGAAGAAGTTTAGACTTGGTGGGCGTGTTTAAAGAAATTAAGTAGTTTTTTTATTCAACAGTCCTAATCTTGACCATTTTTTTATAGATTTTTTAAGTTGTTTTAAAGCATAAAAGTTCAGATTAAAAATCAAAATTCTGTGATTCTAAAGCGACACTGCAGTTGTTTTTTAATGACTGATGTGGCCAAACTGCTTTAGCAACAAGATGCAACTTCATTAAATACCTGTGAAATGTCTTGTCGCTGCTGCTGGTAGAAAATTCTTTGCTGAGCAACTTTCTCATACTGGTCCTGCAGACGAAGGAGTTCTTTCTGTAGCTCCTCAGAGTCGCACAGAATCTCATCCTAGAGGAAGATGAAGGCAGTGAGGACTTACCACAGCCCCCCAAGAGACCTGCATTAGAAGAACACTTCTACCTTTTCTTGACGCAACCTCTCCACCACAGCGTCCAGACTGGGCTGAGCTGGAGGCCCAGCGTAGAGAACACGAGAGGAGGAAGCAGGTCCAGGCTTGAACTTCTCCTCCAGCTCCACAATCTGACATTCCAGAGATTTATTCTCTTGCTCGAAGCAACGAGCCTGTAGGAGTCACAAAAAAAAATCATCAGTTAGTTCATTAATGGATTTCCGGCCTCCTGAAATCCTGTATTCTTAAGAGTCAAATTACAAGGTTTGTCCTCACCAACTCGATCAAGCTGACCAGACGATTGTTCAGGGAGGCCAGATCAGAACGTTCCTGGACGAACCGAGTCAGACCCTCAAGGTTCAGAGCTTTGGCAGCACCGAAGTCCAGTTTATCACAGTCACAGTCGTCAGCAGCAGCAGCAGACCTGGGAGGACACACAAGTCCAGAACTACTTTTGGAGAAGAGACCTTAGGGTTCAGTCAAAGTTAGACCGTGGTAGGACATCAGTAATTAAATTAAATTAAATACAAGAATGTTAAAAACGAAATCTAAATTAATTCATTTAAGTGTTTATCCAACATACAATAAATTCCCTCTTTTTTTTCAAAATTTTAAAATGCCAAGAAGAAATAGTTATGCTATATTTTTCTAAATAAAAATCCCATTTGTCAGCCACACGAAAGAAAAATAAAATCCTGTATGAGTTGATATTCTGATTTAGGGTGAAAACTTCTTTGAAATATTAGAACTTTTTTTTATGAGTATTATTAAGCACACAAACATTTTCAAATCAACTTCTGTTTTCTACGGGGAAAAACAGAGTCTTTCTATTCAAGACATTGCTGTTTTAACATAAAAAAAAATATTATTAATTCAACCGGCATTTCTTAAAGAGATACATCCTATTTTTTTTACACTTCAAAAAAAAAAAAAAAAAAGTTTAGAAAATTTAAACATCTCTGGTACTGACCTCTTGGCCCGATACAACCCGGCAGACTGCAAGTTCATCCCTCCTTTTCTGCCCCAGATACCGTCCTCGAACAGCCGACGATACGACGACACTCTGAGCATGGCCATGGCACCGGTTCTGGTCTGTTTCGAACTGGACTCAGACGCGACAAATAGAGAGAAACAGACAAAGGATATCCAAGGGGATGGTTTTATACTCAAAGGGGAAGGGAATTCAACACTTCAGTGAAACATCTCTCATCCAACTATAATGGGAACATCAGCCTGGAACCATCTCACACGGACCCGAGGAGCCAGAACCAACAGCTGCTATGGACTCGTGTTTTTTCCCTGTTGACAGAATTCCAATACCACAACAAGAACAAAAACAAACACGACATGTATTTATGCACAACTTTTATTTCTGTTAAATAAATTAAAAGTACCAAAAGACTTACTAACGTAGGTCTAAACCAGGTGCGCATTTGATCACGTACCTTTTAAACGGACCTAGTTGTTCGAACATAAAGTGAAGAACACTTAATATTACACTGACACAGTTTACTACACGTTAAAACATTTGCGGATTAAATATTAAACATGATGAGAATGTACATTATGAGGGTGATATGAGGGAAATAAAGCCAGAAACTGTTATCAGGAACGAGGATAAGTTAGAGAAGAAAGATATGTTTCCATCATCGTGACCATACGGGTCTGTATTAAATAATTCAGGGAGTTGACTTGAACTTGCTAAGTGATGCCTCAAACATACAGCAGAGCAGTGTGAAGTTACCTTTTTACTTTTTTTTTTTACCTTTATTAAACACAAAATGATTCAAACTTGTAAACTTCCTGCAACTTGTTAACTTCCAAACTTAAAAATGATTCAAACTTGTTAACTTCCTGCAACTTGTTAACTTCCAAAATCCTGAGATCTGAATTAAGACTTGACAAGGACCAGACCTAAAAAGAGGTTCTGTGGATGTAATTATTTCCATCTTTATGAAATTAAAAATATAGGAACCATTACTGGGAACAATGTACTGTACTAGAAACGGTGTAGTTTTACAACAAGGGCAAGGTGAGTGACATTCTTGGACTGTGAGTTGATGGAATTGAGAACTTTTTTTTTTTACTTTTTCATTACCCTAAACATCAGGACTTGACCAAAACACAAGGACTGGGGAAGTAATGAAAGTTTAAACCAGTATTTTTGTCCTCAAAACAGTTCCTGCTTTTACCAGCCAGGATTGTCAGAGAGGATTGTGAATGATGAATGTCTGTGAATGATGATTTGAGGGCTTTTTGATTAACGAAGCTAAGAAAAATTGTATTTTTTAGTTCAGGTTTTTTTTTTTTTGTTTGTTTTAGATGGGGAAATTATTTCGATTAAAAAAAAGCAAGCAAGCTAATATTTGGTTTAGCGGACATATACTCCATTTAAAAGAATGTGGTTGTTTATAAAGCTAAAATTCTTTAAGTCTTAGATTCTGGTTATTGTTTTTTTTTTTTCCAAATTTAACATCACGTCACAAAAAGTTCTCAGAATGGGGGAAAAAAAAACAACTGAATCAGCAAAAATGATATACTGTTATAAAATTCTTCTTTTTTTTTTTAACTTAAATCAATAAATAAGCAACTTCACACAGTCTGGTGGCATTTTCAAGGCCAATCTGTTAATTTCCCAGTTTAAAAAAAACAAAAAAACAGCTAAAACTTTTCACTTCAAATGTTGGCCTGAGTAGAAACACACAAAGAAATATGTGTAACGTTCCTGATACTAACCGTTTCTTGTGCTCAGTGTTCCTAGTTCTATGTGTCGGGGAGTTAAACATGATTGACTCTCAAGTCACGGAGCAGAAAACAATAATAGCAATATTTACACCAACAAAGAGACAAAGACTAACAAGGACCTCGGTTTGAGCACAATAACGATGAAACTCTTTTCTTTTTTTTTTACGCCTACACACAAACATGGTAAATAGTGCTTTTTGTATCTTGGATGTTAGAACTGTTGAGTTGCTGCAGAAGTGAGAGACGAAGACACGCATTTTAATAACAGTTGAAACGAACTTGGGAGGCGAATCGCGATATCTCGCGGCCGTGTTGGCGGCTAACAATTGCACAATGATGATTGTCACGTTTCACCATCAACCAGAAACAGCTTTCCCTGGTTTCAATGATTTGGTTTGCTCCGGTTATTTACATTACATCTTATGCAGGAATCTCTCTTTCTTTAGTGTGAATTATGCTTTCCGAAAGCGTGCGAACGGATAGTGTATTTTATTTCTATAACTCGGGACTTACTGCACACCAGTCCCTACACAGAGGACGGGGTCCCAGGACAGTTTGGGTCTGTGGACAAAAACATTTTCAAGTGCTCTGTCTTTAGTCCACACCTCTGCCAGCATCTCCTAAAAGCCAGTGAGTGGTCTCTGTCTGAAAACAGATATCATACTTGGTCATCACAGTTGTTATTGTAATCACAGTCTGTATTGTGGTTCCGAATGCAAAGCTGCTGGGGTTCCGTAGCAACCCTTTGGGTCCAAACTGCAAGGAAAAAAAAAAACAAGAGAAATCATCTGCAGACCTAATATTCCATCTCATTTTTTTAATCCTCATCTCCGGCCATAAGGAATCCCAGGACGAAGTCGATGGCTTTCTGTCGTTCCTGTGATGTCTGCCGACTGGTCAGATTTGGAGGGGGTCGGATCAGAAGGCCGGCAAAGAGGGTTGCTAGGATAAGGAGACAGACGGAGAGAATTATAATTATTAGTCTGTGATCAGAAGAGCGTGCGATCAGAAGTTTAAACAGAATCATAACTAAAAACTGGAGAGATAGTTAGTCTTAGAATTGAAAAATCACATTCGTGTCTTTAATAGCCTTTTTAATTGATGTTATGTAATAAAGCAGGCAGCATTGAAACAAATTTCACGTGTAAACTAGTTGGCAGGCGGATGGAGGGTATACGCGAAAGGCAGCGGTGGCTTAGCGGTTAAGGAAGCGGGCTTGGGTCCGAAAGGTTTCAGGATCGAGTCGAGTTACATCGCGCCATAGGAACGGATTTCCAACGCAATTCCAGGACCCCCCCCCCCTCCCCGTATTCCATATAATCATAGAGGGTCAAAGTAATCTGTCATAACGCCTAAAATAATTCGCAATGAATCTGTCTCTTCGACCAATGTGATTTTGAGTAAACAACGCCAGGGCCTTCCAGCGGACCTCTGGTTACGTTGGCGATTGGCGAGTGCTTTGATGTAATGCTCAAAGAATGCCGTCTCGAATCCAACAAACTGCAACTACATTGACATGTATGCGCCAAAGTAAGTTTAGAGATGACTAACGTCGCGTCCACTGCTTCCGTTGAGCGGACATTCTCAGCCTCGAGCAGGGACGGGCAAACTGAGGCCCGTTCATCTGTTTAATCCAGCCCGCCTAATGTTTCCAAATTATATCATTTGTTTATATTATCATTATACTGTACATCTGCCTTTTCCCTGCAATACCCACGTTTCCCCAATAGATGGTGTAGAAAATGATAAAATGCAGACGGACAGATTGTTCCAGACTTGGGGGGAAAAAAGGACAAAAATCACTGGCATTCATAATTATTTTAAGAAGGCTGGAGAAGAAGAAGAAAAGATGCGCACAAGTAGATGTACAGAATGTACAGGAAGTAGTTTCTGAAAGAGGTCAGGGAGTATGAAAAAGGAGTACTGCGGAGCATTTAGAGAGGAGTTGAGAGATGCCCTTGCGGAGAGATGAACCACAGGAAACTTGCAGTCGGGTGTTAGGTACGACGTCAGGTCAGTCGAGAGCTGACGAGGAAAGTTAGCGACGTGAATAAAGACATTCATTTGCTGAAACCCAAGTCCCCGAAGTAGATGGTTGTGAGAAAGTTATGGCGCTGGTTAAAAAAAAAAACAGCAGCAGTGTGAGGTATTACCTATGAGGTTTGCAGTCAAATTGTTGTTGATGGAGTGCTTCAGCAGCTCTTTCAGGAAAGCCATTAGGTAACGGAACACATTGCGGTGAGCTCGAGGCAGCTGAGAGATCAGCTGTCAATCACCAGAGAGTCAGATACAGTGAATTATTAAAGACAACTGTACGGTCACAGACACACACAGGACACCAAAAGATGATGTGATTGTGCACCTGTTTACACAGTCGACTGTCATGGGCACAGTCCAGACACCTGTGGTACAGCTCGTAACACACCACTGGTTCCGGAACGGCTTCCAGGAAGATCAGCAGAGCTTCGGCTACGGAGTGGTTACAGCCAGCTGTGAGATAAGTCAAGGGAGGAGAAATTCTGCTTTGCAATTTTTTTTTTTTTTTATGGCGGACATTTTAGAGAAATCCTACAGAACATGCTGAACTGTTATTTTATTTTGTTATTAATTCAGACGCAGATTGAGACTGCGAACTAATTTTTGAGCATAGAAGAGGTGAATGAAAAGGACCACGAACTCTACAAAACCTTATTTAAAAACACTACAAATGCGCAAATAACTAAAATTTAAAAATTTTTTTTTTAAACTTTGAGTTTATTTGCCCTGCTGCAATAGTGCCCCCTAACCTCAGAACCACTGATACACATTTTCTTTAGTGAGTGATTCGAGGTGAAATCGGCAGCGAGGCCGAGTGACCTTTCTTTCAAGATAAGGATACGTAGTGAGTCAGGAATGCTGGTGTCAAGACAGTCAATGATGCTTTGCAGCTCTTCCTGAAGACCTGGAGTCTGGAACAAGTCCTCCTAAAAACCAAAAATCCGCCCCAAAAAAACGACAAACAAGACAATTTAAGATTCAAAAAAAGACATCGGGAGAAATATTTACAAAAATCCCCCCCAAAAAAAACGACAAACAAGACAATTTAACATGTAAAAAAAAAAGACATCGGGAGAAATATTTACTCCAAATTTACTGAAAAAAGATGTTTATTCCATCTTTGGGTTGCTGTTTTTACAGTCGGTGGCGCTGTTTCTCACCTGATCACAGGCCTTGGTGTAGAGATGGTTGACCAGAATCCAAAGCTCCTTGGGGATTTTCAGAGGTTTGTCATCCGTTCCTGCACCATCCGCCATCAGGAAGTTCATCTTTGACCTCTCCTGGAAAAGAAAATAAAGTGACTTGAACACTTCAGCATGAATTTCCCTCTGAAAAAACAACCGCAGGACTATACAGTTGATATGGAGACGGAGCAGGTCGTAAAGAGGTGAAACTGGGTTCAGCGGATGAGGACTGGTGTACAGTGATGAAAGTGTTTGATTTAATCAAATGCTATTGACACCAGTGTTGGGACAAAATGTAAAAATGTATTAAATTTATTTTTTAGATTTATTTTTTAAATTTTCATCTATAAACATATTCTGTTTAGTTCATAAAATCTAGCAAAAGACATTGTTATGCAGTGTTTTAGCTTTCTTAACCATTAAATAATAATATTGATATTTCAATATTAATAATGATTAAAAAAATCATCCGGTTAAAGTTGATGTACTGATCCTTTAGGTTGAAAGGTTTTGGAAGTTGTCTTAAATAAATAGTCTTAAATAAAATGGAGCATTAATATAACTAACATTTTTTCAATGATCATATTTTACCTTTTCCATGTAGCTGTCTTCCCCCTTAGCACAAGTGAGTCCAAAGCCCAGGGTGAAGAGACAGAAGAGGAAAGAGGATCG